CAGCAGTAGACTATCGATACGTAATGAAGTGATTGAAGTGAATTATAGAAACAGGTTTGTTGTCGTGACCAGAAATAGTGGTTTTGAACAAATAATTGTTTTGATTGCAGTTGCTTTTATTTACGTTTCCACTTGCCTTCTAAATCAAGAGAGATTTAATGCCAGTACGGGGTTGGGCAAACAACTTCAAATTTGATGAGTGATTTAGCAAACTGGCGATAAATTACACATGGGGCATGTTTTACACAGTCGTTGACAGGCCCAAAGTCTTGTCCCTAATTTAAAGACAGTAGCAAGAGATGACGAAGCAAACACCTGATAATCGTTTGGGCCAACAACAACAGCATGTAAATAAATGTTAAATGTAAATAATGTTTTTTAATATTTTTATAATCACATTATGTACGTTTTCCCTTCGATTTTATTCAAATGCTTTTGCCATTTGGGAATATAGGGTATACAATTAGCGAATACTGCGCATTCGATTCGACTTGCAAAGAGCAAACATGTGTTTTCTTGTCTCTTGCTTTTTCACAGTAACACGCAGACGGACGAGCGTCAAAACCCAAAATCGGTCAATAAACAAACAAACAAATGCCGTCTGTGGCGAGTGCAACGACAATAGGTTTGAGTTCCAGGATTGTGTGTGTTATTGTGTGCATGTATGTGTATATGTGGATGTGAATGTGAACAACAATAACAGTCGCCGTGGTCGAAGCTCACGTCTATCCGCGGACTGGCCACGACGGACTGACCAACTCTTCGAACTCCCTCAACACGAGACACGCTGTGCAAATTAGCTAGCTCGGCAGTCGGGAGAGATTATGACACCGGGAACCCGTAGCCAGCCCTGGCTGGTGGCAGATTTTGGCGTGCATAAAATAATCGTAATAAAAATAAAGTAAATCAAACGCAACTATTTATTAGATGACGGACCACATAAAACTGAATTCGTGAGAGTTTTGCGTTTTCGGGGCACTTACTGGAAGTGTGCTTCACACTCCTACATATATACACCACCGAGCTTTCTGTGCAAACACGCCTTGGCACTCAATGCATTGAAGTGCCCCAAAAGCGTTGTTGCGTGGCAGGGGCAAAGGCGTAGAGTGCTGGGTAGGGGGTGTTGGGAGCGACGATTTGGTCTCGCATGCACATGCCAAAGTGTTTTTATTACATTTACGTGGAGAACTTTTTTGTTGCTGGTTGCTGCCCCCGATCCTACCCCAACCAATGCCCCAGCCCAGCTCCTGATCCAGCCCCTGTGCCTGATCCGGTTCCAGTCATAGTCACTGGCCGCTAAGCCGGTGTAACGGAAGCGTGTGTTAGTGTATTGGTTTAGTGGCATAAAAATACAATTGACTGCTGACGCCTGACCAATTGTGTTTGTGTGTGCTTGTGTGGGTGGGTGGGTGTGTGGGAGGATTTGCGTGTGTATGCGTGTTAGTGTTGTTCTTGCACATATTGACCAAAATGACAAGCCCAGGCCAGACAATCGGCCAACCGATAGAACGCCACAGAACGTAGGATGTATAGTAGGACGTGGCACCGCACCACCGACAACAACTGCCAGAGCAACAATTGGTCATTGGCCACACAAGTGCGATTGTGTGTGCGTGTGTGTGTGTGTGTGTGTGTGTGTGCGAGTGTGAGTGTATGCCTGTGTTTGTCTAAAGCACAATGCTCCATGTTGCTTTTGGAATTTTTTCCTCTTTGGCATTTGCTTGTCGTCTGGTCTGGCTTTGTTGTTATGGCTGTTGTCTGCTGCCTCCGTTTACATTGGCGTTCGTTTGCGTTTGTAACGCAATAAAAGTGTCCTCACGCATTTATTTAGCAATTTCTTTTGTTATTATTTTTGCTGCAAGGTTCGCGTCGGCGTTTTCATTTCTCTTCTTCTTAGTGTGCGTGTGTGTGCGACGCAGCTTTAAGTGGATTTCAATACAATTGGCTAGGGCATGTTCCTGGCCAGCAGATAAATGAATTCATGAGATTTCTGCATCCGATACATTCACGTGTTGCGGACGTACGTGACACGGGTGAGGGTGAAAAGAAAAATGAGGATATTAAAGCGACTTCAGCCTCCGTCTTTAATAGCAGGATCCACAATTTTATTTTCGCTGCTTGCCAAAATGTCGGCAAATTTGTGTGTTATGTGTTTGCGCAACAATTTTTTCGCTGAAAATTAAAATGGCCGCAGGTATCTGGTGTCAGGTTGTAAGATGGAGGCCCGAACACGCACCAACCTGTGCCTTAATGGTAGTAGTAGTACTAGTAGACACCTTTTGAATTCCGACAATGTACTCGTTGTTCTGTTCAGTTCAGTTGTACACAGTTTGCTGTATGCATCGATGGTTGAACTCCGTCGCCTCCGCCGCTACCGGCACGCATCGTTTTCCTACTTCGATGTGGTCGCGCAGTTTCTACTTTTCCTCCATGTTCCTGTGTTGTTGTTGATATTGTTGCCATTAGCCTCGGGTGTAATGGCCACGGCAACAATCAAGCTACCACAGCTCATAACAACAAGAACAACAAGAGCAATAACAACAATCAAACAGCGGCAGCAGCATTGAACAATGGGCGCTCGAAACTCTTTCACAGCTCTTCAAAAAGCTGGCCAGGGTCGCACACCGACGCTTGTGTATGTATGTGTGTGCGCATGGGTTTGTTGCTTTTTAATTAATAGAAAAGTCCTTTGTAAAGTAATAAATAAATATTATGCTTTTGCGTTTATTTAAGCCACCCACCCTAACACCTCCACACACACCCACCCACCCACACAGACGCACATAGACACACAAATCGACATAGAGAAGACAGCGGCCAATGTGACCGGGTGACTGAGCGGCCGACCTGTAAAGCCAGCACTTCTTCAGCATACTCTCCACCTTTGGAACTGCATAGCAATTGAGTGTTGAGTTGTCCTGTGAAAAGGACAGCTGAATTCCTTGCAATTTCTGTGATATTAAGACATGTCTTGCATGTAAAACACCCAGAAATAGGCTTTCTTAAGTTCGGGAAGCTGCAAATTCTCGATGAGCTCCTCCACTTCCCAGCTATGCTGTTCGATCGATAAATTTCCCAATATAAGTCGTTAAAAATACCAAGGAAAACAGCACGTGATTCCCACGTATTAGAGATGTCTATTACTAAGCTTAGCCGCGCCGTTTTCTCAAACCTGTACTTTATCTACATAGACAGACAAGCAGATAATTTTTATGCCAAATAAGAATATATAGTTTATATTTTATTGGAGTCGCTGACGCTTTCCTGTACATATCATATCACATATATATCAGTTTGCAAATCTGTTAAGCCTAGGAAAAGTTGTTTTCGAACGAAGGTCAGAATAGATGGTCTTGCATTGCAAAAGAAGATTGCTAAATTGTCAAATGTGATTGATTGTATTGAAAGCCCACTGTAAAGTCGCTACACACGGTTAACGAGCACCGCGTGCGCCCAATAATGAGTGTTAATTGAAAAAAACCAAAAGCATGTTCGCGGCCGCATCAGTGCTCGACAACGCCGTGAAAAGAGCGATCGGCGTTAATTTTTAATTTTTCAGCAAGAGCCACAAACGAAAATTACCAACGATGCATGCATTAATTAAATTTTCGCCCAATAAGCGTTCAATAATGGTAAACATTGTTTATTGTTTATTTTAATAACGTGCGCGCGGTGAGGGCCGCAGGCCAAGCTTGTCCAGACAGCCTTTGCGTTTACTTTTGCGGTTGGAGGAGGTCGAGTCTGCCGTCCCGTAGTCGACGTGGCCGCAAGGTGGACACGGTGGTCAAAAATAATTAACACGAAATTTCAAAAGAAACCGCTCCGGCGACGAGTCCTTTCGGAGGGAAAAGGGAAGGATGTGCCGCCCCTCTGGCAAAGGGCAAAAGGCCGAACCACCACTTTATTATTTTTACATTTTGACGTGTTGCACTTCGCCCATCCCGCCATTTTTCACCCACACTTTGGAATTTGGGAGCGATGGCTGCTAGATTGGCCTTCCTGGGTAAAAATATTGTATATTGATTTGTTTGCCTGTGAAATCATTTTGTGGTTGCATGGTTTTCGGTTTTGAGCATGCAACCGGCATATTGTTGGCGTCCATAGTGGCGGCTTCTGCCAAATATTTACCTAATGTGTGGTTCTGGTTTCTGGTTTTTGGTATTTGGCGTGCGCGGTTTTTGATTAGCTTTATTACTTTGACGCACACACACACACATATATATACATATACACAAACAGACATAGACTCACAGACACGCGCTGTTAATTAATGTGCCAAAAGTGCGTACGCGGCGCATAAATGCCGCCTCCATTCTCCTCCAGCCGTCCTCATGTTCCTGCTCTCCTGCCTCCTCCACGGTGTTCCCCGTTGTTGCTCTCGTTTTATTTTTCCATATTTTCGTCAGAGCCGCCAACAAAAGGCCAAATGTTTGTTGACTTATTTTCTATGCTAATTAGTGGGTTAATTGGCTATAAGCACAACGTGGAAGCGTGCGCGGTTGAACGAGTGCTTATGTGCGTATGTGTGTGTGTGTGTATCGGCTGTGGCTGTCTACGCGTTTAATTAGACCTGAGCGAACAATCGTTGGTATAAATAGAGGACCGTGGTTGTAGGGGTGGACAGTCCCAGAGCATGCCTGAGAGATTTCTGGCTCCACCAACCAAAGTTGGCGTGGTTAGTATGTTGGCTTATGTGTAAGACGACGCCTAAGACAATTTGAAATGTCGCCAAGCCACTTAGCTGCTGTGGTCGGCTCCGGCTTCGGCTTCGGACCTGTCGCCATCGTCATCATTGCACTCTAATTGCAGCAAACCAAGACGCTGTCCCAAAAGTCTTAAAAGTAAGGCTAGAAATTCATTTTATTTGAACACTTTTTCAACGGCAAGAAAGCGGCACAGGGGAAAGTTAAGGCAAGCAAAACAAGGCAACAGAGGCAAAGGGGAGGTTGATGGTAGTTAGATAGAGTTTAAATGAGAGAGAGAAAGAATATAAGACTTACCAAGTCCGCCGGCCAGCACGGTGCTCGAATCCAGCTTGGCTTTCTTTGTGGCCAGGTCCTGATTATTATTGTCGGAAGCGGGCGCCATGACTGCTGCTTGACTCAAAAGTTCGTCACTTCCGCGCTGTGTGGTAGAGACGCGTCGTATAGCGGTTAAGACGCAGGCGGCAGGTTGGAATTCGGGTTTTTCAGTTTTGTTAATTTTTTGTTGTTGTATATAGTTGATATTGCAGAGGCACAGCAAAGGCGAAGGCACAGGCACAGCAGAGAAGTTGAAGGCAATAGTTGGTAGTTGAGTGTATGTGGTTGTGGTTGTGTGTGTGTGTGTAGTAGTAGTAGGTGAAGTATTTACGGTACATAAAAAGAGAAAAATAAAAGAGAGAGAACAATATAAATATTTAATATTTACGCAAGTTAAATCAATTACAGCAAATTCTGGTTTGCGTTTCTGCTTTGTTATTTCTTGTTTGGATGATGGGTAGATGGGTGGTTGGGTGGTTCAGTGGTTTCATATTTCCCACTGTAAAGCATCGACTGCTGGTCATGCTGGCAGCGGCAGAAAAAATAGAGCTTGGTAATGTTGCGGTTCAGATATACTATATGATCTGTTAGTGGTTGGCATGCAAGTGAATTCTTTAATAAACATATATTGAGCTTCCTGGCGCATTCTTACAACTATGTCTAAATAATAAAGTGTTAAACTTATTGATATTTCTTAATGTTACAGCTGTAATTTCTAATAATTTCGAACACTTGGTAACTGATGCTAGAGTCCACTTTAAAATTGGGATCAGTTTTAGGATCTCGGAAAATTTACATATACCTTTAAAAATAAGAAGGATTTTGGTATTTGGGATATTTTTGTATTGCTGCTAGCAGCGAAAACATTTTTCATTTTTAAAAAAGTTCCCAACGAGTCGCTAAACAAACTTTGGGATATCTTTTCGTTGCTATTTGTTGGTGCTTGAAAATGTAAATAATTACACAGCGCATTCGTTTAAATAAGAGCGGTCAGGTCAGGCCAGGCCAAGCCAGGCTCACAACACTTGACCAAGAATAGATTAGGGTTACCTTTATGATCAAACAATGATTAAGGCAATATACCTGGCCACACGGAAGGGGTGAATGGCAGTGCAAATAGTGGCGCTAAAATCTAATTACAAAACCATGTTAGTTGGGCTGCGGCTAAAAGTAATGCGGCATATAAGTGTATTGTAATTACTTGTGACACTTAATTACCGCACTCCAAGAGCCGCAAAAATGTGCCAGAGCCAGAGGGCCAGAAAGACAGAAAACGGCGAGTGGTAGGGCTGAACGAGCAGTTACCGAAATGCTTAGGGCGAGGCAAGTTAAGCCAACATTAAATGTAATGCGCGCCATAAAAATAAAGCTGCTGCTGACTACGGACTACCTAGTGTGTGACTGTTCGGTTGTTCGGTTCTTTGGTTGTATGGTTGTGAGTGCTCCACTGCTCGACTGCTCAGCTAGCCATGCATTAGCGCAATGACAAAAAGTCAATAAATGCGAAAACGACAGCAACGAGCACAACAAGCAGGCAGGCAGGCAGCCAGACAGACAGTCAGCCGACGGACCAACAAGCAAATCCTGGCACAAAGGCAGCCATGGCACAAAAGCCGAGGAAGCAAGAGCGTAAATTGAAAAGGGTAATTTTGTGTGAAGTACCTTGGCACAACACACACACACAAACACACAAATACAAATACACATACACAAACACATCACCCTCAGCACCCCCACCCATTGTGCGCTTTGTCTAGTTGCTGGATGCTGCTATCAATGCTGACTACGCTTGAATTCGCCACTTGGCTTATCATGGTGTGGTGGCGGCGGTGGCGATGGTGGCACTCCCTGCACCGCGTTTCGTTACGTTTCGCTTTGCTCTGTTCTGTTCTGCTTTGTTGTTTGTTGTTTGCTTTTATTTTTATGTGACTCCACGTTCTATATAGATATGTATAGTATGTATAGCATATACACATATAGAATTATATACAAATATATAAAAGAATTAGCTTAAATACAAAAACAACATGTGGTAATAGCAATAATAACAAAGCCAAACGCACACACACGCGCATATAGTACATCAGAACATCGAGCAACGAGTGCTGGGGCGGGAGGGGGCGCGTACACAAAACGTGTGATAGACAAAGCAACAGCAGCAAAAACCGCAAAAGCACTTCACTTGATAATATCACAGAGCACAACACACCGCACGAAGCGCAGACAAAAAACGAACAAGCCACGCACACCAACCCACACACACACACACACACACACACACACACACACACACACACACACACACACACACACACACAATAAACGACATCAAGCGCAAACGGAAACTCGTACGGTTGTATGCGTGAGCGTGTGTGTTGTGCGGCTTGTTGGTTGAGTAATGATATCAGAGAAGCTGTTGCTGCTTTTGTGCATTGTTGTAGCACCAACATATGTTTTTCGTTTTCGTTGTCGCTGTTGTTGTTGTTGTTGTTGCTGTAGTTGTACGTGCGCTTGTCGGCTGTGGTAAAAAATTTGTAGCATACTTTTTTGGGCTTGCGCTTTATTGGCATCCGTAGAGAAGATTTGGCAAAATACCCAAATAGCATTACACGCATATAATTTTGCTTTATGGTTCTATTAAGCAAAGTTTCGGTGTAGATATCGTTTTTGATATTGAATTTTTTAAAACCTAGCCAATGAGTAGAAATTTTTCAATTGTTGGTGAATATTTGCGGATGTGAACTGCAGATCGAATTCTTGCTCTTGTGAATTATTTGTAAAGCTTCGCTCGTTGCTGAGTTCAGTAAAGTTATTTGGAAGTTATTCTCTATTGTGAAAAACAATCTAGTGATGTAATTTCAAAAGCTGTGTCTATAAGCTAGCTTCACTTTTTGTTTGGAAATTTTAATAATTTAAATACTCAATTACATACCATGGGAAACATAGTTTTTAAAGTGTTCATTAATCTAGTCAATCTTCATGAGTAAATTTCTAGAACAACTAAACAAAACCTATTGAAAATAAATATAGCATTTTCTGCTCTTGAAATATTGGAATTTAAAAATGCTGTTGAAATTGGAACGACAAAATCCTTTAGTATTTGATTTGCTTCGGTTAGACACGAGCATATTTAATCTTGCTTAGCTCGAAATCTATAAAAATGCGATGACACGACCATTGTTAACATTCGATCTGAAGGAAATTGAAGAACGGCAAGCTCTAGCTCTACTGCGAGTAATTAAATTTTTAAACGCCCTCAATCCCCAATCAACCCCTTGGGCATAGACAGCGGGAAAGGCACTCATTGCTTCTCTCCAATGCATTCGTTATGGCACATTAACAGCGCCGATGGCACACCAAATTCCCGAGAGTCGACGACTGTACACATACTATATGCTACATACAGCACATGTTGCAAGTGCCAGGCAGCTGGGGTTTATACTCCGATGTATGTGTGTGTGCGTGTGTGTGTAAATGGCATGGCCAACTTAGTGCGCATCATAACATTACACGCCTCATGCCCAGACCGGTCAGCTGCCTTTCTGGTCGTGCGCCACTTCTGTCTGTTAAGCTGACCGGAAATGTTATTTTAATATCCTCTATAAAAAGTATTCTAAATATTTGATTAGTAACTGTCTGTCCTGTCCACATATGCGCATATGCTTTGTGGCTTAAAAGCAGGGCACCCCCATTTCAAAAACGATCCCGTCCCTTTACTTCTATGCCTGTACACTGACCATACAGCAGACAGCCTTGCCATTTGGCGTCCATTGTTGTCGCCGGCTACTGCTCCATTTTAATGAATTTTTACACATTTTTCTCTTCAAATTTTTTTTTATAAGCAACGCTGCTGCCGCTGGCAAGGCGTTGGCGTCAACGTCGCCATTGCTGGCCATTCACTGAATTCTATGATGACATGTGCCTTTTTATTCTCTGCCGCTGTCGTTGCCGAGTGAGACTCTCTCTCTCTCGCTCTCTCTCTCTCTGATGTTTCCTTTGCTTCCGTCTTTGTTGCCGAGTAACTGGGTCAGCGAGCAATTGTTAAAGGGATGCAGCAGCAGCGATGGAGGGTTCTTATTCTTGTTGTTGTTGCTTCTGCTACAACTGCTACTGCTGCTGCTGTCGGACAACCCAGAGAGATAATCACGCATATGCCTAACGGTTAAGTTTTTGAAGTGCGCGCCTCGACGACGGAAGCAAAGGGTGTCAGCGTCATCAACAACAACTGCCAGTGCTTGTCTGTCTCTACGTGTGTGTGTCTCTGTGTGTGTGAGTGTATTTATCTGTGTGAGTGAGCCTTTGTTGTTGATATAATGAGCAGTATGCGTCTGTGCTGCTGTTGTGTGTTTAATTTTTCGTATATGCTCCACATTTGATCTTCTACTCGAGGAATTCCGAGTGATGCTTTAAAAGGCGCACTACTCCACTGGCCTAGAGATGGGCACGTGCCACTGCACCCAACGAACCAAATCTATTTTGTCAATCTGGAAGAGCTTGAAAGCCGCAGAATTGAGTATACGTTACTGATTTTATATTCAATAAAACAGAATAAAAATCGAAGCATATCTATATAGCGCCACTACCTAATCTCTCCTTGCCTTTATACTTTTACCACATACTTTTACATCTAGAGAGAAGAAGGCGTGATTATGTGCCACTACTAATGAGTGTGGGTATTTATAATGGGAATTTTTAAAGGCGACAAGATGGCGGCACAATTTCTATCATCAGCTTCCTGCCAGTGTCCAGCGCACCCAAGTTGCCATAACAATGTTTGTGCACAAAGTTTTCTCTAATGAGAAAGGAGGGTCAACAAAATGAAAACAGCAAGCATAGGAAATGTGACGAAGATGGGTGCAGTAGTCAGAGAAGTCTGCGAATCAGCAGCACTGGCAAAGGCCGCTGGGTAATTTGCCGAGTGTCTGCAGATTTTTCTATTCCGCAAGGACATTAAAGCATTGCTAATCAGCACACAAATAGATATACAATTAAAGACATCAAGTTTTTATAAGTTAAACTTGGCCAAGTTTCGCCGTAATTTATCAAAAGGATCGTTGCGAGGCAAGCTGAGTGGAAGGATGTATCGAGAAGAAAGTACCAACC